GTCAGTCTTCAAAGCCCTGATAGATAATGGTTTAAAGATTTCCCCTGGTAAATGCTCATTCTTCAGGCGTGAGGTCGTCTATATGGGCCACGTCATAAAGGTAAATGATGATGGACTTGTAATTCTGAAGGCTTTAGCAGATCGTTGTCAGTCTATTCAGCATCTCATCCGTCCTAAGTCCAGTAAAGAGGTACGTCGATTCATAGGAGCTGTAAACTACGTATCCAATTTTCTTCCTAGATTACAAGAAGTAATGCAACCTCTCCATAGCATTTCATCAAAAAAGTCCAAGTTTGCATGGTCCAATGTACATGAAGAGGCCTTTCAGAAAGTTAAATCTCTGTTAACTACACCACCAGTCTTGTATCTTCCAACGGCAACAGGTCATCTTACTCTCTATAGCGATACAAGCCGTTCTGCAACTGGCTCATATTTGACACAAGTCATTAATGGCAAGGAAAGGATCTTAGGTTATTACTCAAAGAAATTACCTCCAGCATGTGCCAATTACAGTGTCACTGAACTAGAAATGTTTGGTTTGCTAATAAACATCACCCATTTTCAGTACCTTCTCCAAGGAGTAGAATTCACTGCTGTCGTGGATCATTCTGCCATTGTACACATTCTCAGTTCTAAGAAAGAACCTTGTACTCAACGCCTTAAGAGGATTATCATCAAGCTTTCGCAATATTCCTTCCAAACATGTTATAAAAAAGGTACAGAGATGGTATTAGCTGATTTTTTGTCCAGGAGCTCCACTGATACTCATGATTGTGAAATTGATCAAGTGGTCCCCACAGCCTTTGCCTTTTCAGACTTTGCTTTTCCCATTCTCTCGCCAGTTAATCGACCTGTTACTCGTCGATATGCAAAGGAACAACAAATACCTATCCCAGATCTGTTTCCCAAATCTAAAGCTTCCTCAACTGTTTGCATACCATCTTCAGTATCTCAAGAAGATATACCTCCAACCACTCCTACGTCTGATTTCAACCCAGATTCAGAATCATTTGATAACCAGTCTCAGGCACAGATCCCACATAAGAATGTTTCCAACCAGGTTATCAACCCCGCTAAACCATCAAAGCCCCCTTCTTCGACTAACGTGCCCACTCACCAAAATACAACCTATTTGGGTAAACACAGACCAGTAGTATCCACAACAGAAACTCGTCCCGAGGAGCGTCTTGTTGACAAACCTGAGGATGGAATCGATGATTCAATTCCGATAGACTTGTGTATTCCTCCCAAACCCCTACTTCACAATTGTGAAAAGGTTGTTTCTTCTCATTTTCCAAAGCAAGCTGAACTGACCAAACTCTATAATGTTATTAAGCGTAAGATAATCAGAGATTACAACTTACCTTTTGATCAGAATAAACTTCGCTTAGAACAGGAAACATCTCCTTATTTCAAACAAGTTTATGACTATCTGGCACATGATATCTTGCCTAGCAATCGTAAAGCTGCTAAACGTTTAAAACTACAGTCAGAGGAGTATATTTTAGCAGAACAGCTTTTATTTCGCCTCCTGGTACATGATGATGATCGCTTTACTCTTCAGTTAGCCGTTCCGGAATCAATGTGTAATGGCTTAATCCATCAGTATCATGATAGCCAGTTATGCAATCATCAAGGTGTTGTTCGTACCTATTTAACCCTACGGAAGTTATTCTATTTTCCAAACATGTTTCAGCGAATTACACAGTATGTCAATACATGTTCAACCTGCCAACAATTCAAGCCCAAAACTGATACAGCCAGAGTTTTTCATCCTCGAATCCCTGAGGAATATAATGTTTTCAGCAAATTAAGCATTGATTTTAAGTCTATGCCCACATCAGTTTCTGGTTTCAAACACCTTCTTGTTGTATGCGATGAGATAACACGTTTTGTTATTTGTGTTCCTACAAAGTCTGTCGATGCAGAAACAGTTTGCGAAGCTTTAATTCAGAAGGTTGTTTGCCTATTTGGTCCTCCATCAGTTATCATATCTGATGCTGCTTCAAGTTTCACTGGAAAACTAGTGTCTTCACTCTGCACAGCCCTTGGTATTAGTCAGAAAGTGATTAGTGTTGCCAATCATGGTAGCCTTCTAGTCGAACGACACATCAGGTCAATTTCAGACTTCTTAAAGGTCAACTTAAATCAATATGGAACCGATTGGGTCAGATACGTGTCTACGTGCTGCTATGCATACAACTCCTTTTCTTCATCACGATTAGGTAGTCTTTGTCCTTACGAATTAGTGTTTGGTCGTAAACCGAAAAATCTTACTCATCTCAATTGGCAATTTGATGGCATTTGTCGCTCCTATTCGGATTATATTTCCCAATTGAAGGACAGATTTGATCATATGTCGAAGACCATAATGGATCTCCAGAAACGTCAGCAGGAATCACAAAACATAAGTGTTGCTCATAATCTGAGTAAGAATCCTGTTTACGGATTGGGTCAGCTGGTTTATGTTCTCAAGCCTTCGTCTTCCAGCTTAACCTCAAATTCACGAAAAATCAAGGCCGATTGGTGTGGTCCTTTGGTTGTCCATCAGGTACTCGATCGAACCCATTACGTTCTTGCCACATTGGATGGCAGGGTGCTTCCGGATGTCTATTCTATTAATAGACTAAAGCCATGTTTTGTACGGTCGCCTAATTTTCAAACTAAAATTACCCATATTGATCAACTGCAAAAGGAGCTGGGTAATGTTCCAGCCAATAATGCTCATACCCTTACTGAAATTAATCCTTTATGTTTAATTACTGATGAGAATGATATTGTACTACATTCATTCAATGAGACTGTAATCCCTTATAATAGGATCACAAAACCAGTTGTACTTTGACTTCAAAAACTGCGTTTTTGATTTCAGTCGGGGGGATGTTGTATAGCCATATATTAGTTCTAAGCATGTATTATTGTGGTCTGTATCCTGCTACTAAGGATACATGATTTATCTCCCTTACATATTGCCTGTTGGAAGACTTGATAACTTGTATGTTTTGGGAGTGAGCTCCCCTGGGAGGAGGTGAATAAACATGTGCCTATGAAAGAAGTCTTTTGTTTCTATGAATGTCTTCCAATGAAAATATCTGAATACGTGTGGGTTTGACCATTCACAACAATACTGATCTCCACGAAAATTACCCCCAAATCTTCACACAGAAACTTATAATTGCATATTCATAAAAATAAAAATCTGAACGACATCTTAGTGCACATTAAATTAGACTAAACAAGACCAGTCCTCACCTTAACCCAAAACAAACAATATATCAAACCCTAGCCCTAACCGATTAGTAAATAAAATCAACTACACAAGAATCCCTATAGCCCTCACCCGGTGATAGTGGAACAAACATATTTAAAAAAAACAAAAAAAAAAATGCTTACCCTCGGAAGTTGTTGTAGTCTCTACCTTCCAGGTCGCATTTGAATGCGCACAATTCTCGTTAACAAAAATGTCTGTGTGATAGAGACTAGTATTGATGGCGGCACAGAGTGTATTTTTACTCTGTGGCGGTTATCTCGATCAAGCGCAGATTGTAAGTTTTATAATATTACTGACGGCTTCATAAAACTTTCCACACTGATTACATTCAACACTGTAAAGACTGATATGCATAATATCAATAACAACTTCTGTGATGTCTGTACATTCATGTAAATAGAGATAAGTAAAATTGAAGATGTCCATCGTGAATTATATCATGATTATTATATGATGAAGTAAATATGACCTATGTGTCATTCCATAATAGTACATTCCAGAGGCGTTTTTACGAGAAAACAAATCGGTTTCGATTACCTATCTCGTTTTGTACAAAGACATAGGTCTCGAGTTGGTATTCGAATCGGTTCTCGTAAACGCGATGAGTTGCCTCGCAAGATGACTGAAGACTGAAGAATTGAGGAAAAATGTTTAAAAAATTCACTTTTCTTTTCTTGGCGACACCTAGACTGGACAACCTGCTCTAAATGACGTCAGGCTTGTTCCTACGTCACGGCGCTATTCTGACTTCAATATACAAGTCAGAAAAGGAGTGACGTAGGAGCGAGTCTGACGTATTAGAGCAGGTTATTTATCCAGTCTAGGCGACACCGCCCAAAAATGATGACTCATACTATACGTCACCCGCTCATGCGTACTGCGGAGAAGGATGTTCGCCATGCTGATTTCTTGAAGTATACCATTTCGATGTTGTTTAGATGTAAATCATTCTTGACTAATAAATGTTTGTCTACAACGAACATAATAACTTCATTTATAAAATTATTTTCAGAACTTCGCTACGGACCACGTCAAGCACAGGCATAGGCTATTATTAGTATTAGGCCTATCTACTACTACTAGTACTAGGCTCTATAATCATTTATAATGTATTATGTAGTACGCCACTAGTATCTAGTGACCGGAAGGCCTTGGTCTTGTGGTGTTGTGGAAAATTAATGATAATTCAATTTTGAATACATAGACTAGTTATTATGTAGTTATGTACCGTACTTTGTATAAAGCCAAAGGCGAAGCATTCAAAATTAATCCCCCCCCTATTGATTGTCATGCCCAGGCCCTAGTTCAAGCAAGTTCATGTCCTCTCTCATCTTCAATTAGAAGGCTTGATCTCTCCTTAACTACGAACATCTTAAAACTCGCGGTCGTTGCTTCAGGAACATGGCCCTCTGGACAAAATAGCAAATCCACAATTGAATATAGATTGGCCCCACAACAGAACTTGAACCCATGAACACTCCAGAGTAAGGTACCTATTTGCCAGAATACAATGTCAAGGTGCTATTCCACTTGGCCACTGGCCACCTCAAGAATATAATTTATAAATTTGTTTAGGCCATTGGCCTAGTACCGTAGTGGAATAGGCGAATAGCATGCCAACATTGAATGCTGGCGAATGGTCATATTTCAATTTCTAAATGGCACACTCAAATTCTATTAACGTCAATGTAATGAATTAAACTTAAAGCTAATTTAGCTTTAATTCAATATGGCCATTACTTTTTCTGTTGTTAGTGAATCAGTTTGGGTGAAATTTTCAGAAAATGTTTCCTTTGTGATAATAATTAAGTGTATACCACTTAGAACATCTATCTTGAAAGTTTATTTTTCACAATATAGGAAATATTTACTTTTAACTATTAAAATTACATTTGACAAATCATTGTGTTAGTCCTAGGTATTTTACTGTATGAATTAATAGCCTAATACTAAGAAGTTTCGCATATATTTTTCAGATCTGATGTATGGAGGAGATATTAAGAAGTCTCGGTCTTAGTCATTTAAATGAAATCTTTGAACAAAACTCTGTAAGTAGCCAATAGTTATACATTTAATTCAGTACTGTATATTTGTAGATAGTAAATATCTGATTTATGTTTATATATTTCAACTGTTTGTTACAGGTTGGACCCTCCAAGGTCTGTAATTTGTCAGACACAGATTTCAATATGTTGGGTGTGACTAAAATCGGCGACAAAACCCGACTTGTTCAGAGATGCCGAGCTGAACTAAATGGTATGTCTATTGTAAATTATTAAGTTTTTCTTATGTCATGACGGACTTTGTCTTGCGAGAGAAAAGAAGTTTATGACAGTTTAATTTTCCCACATGGGCTGTAATGAAATATATATTTCTTGAATCCCTTATTTGCTAAGTTGATATTCCTCTACCATGAAAGTTTTGTTTTGTTATACGCCCACATTGTCATGTGGACGTTACATGTCACCCCAGTCCATCCGGACGTCTACAAACAATTTGTTTGTGGCCACTCTTCTACAGGTCACAACTTTTATCTGATTTTGACAAAACTTGAAATATAGGTCTATCTCCCAAAGATCTTGGTTCCTTTCGAAATTTGATGAAACTTGCAATGTTCGTTTATAACCCAAAGATCTTGGTTCCTTTCGGTATTCGCACATATCGTAACTTGGATTATGGCCCCTGATTGTACGAAAAAAAAACGTTCAAATATATCACCGTTACACCCTAATGATGAACATGGTTGAGTTCGAATTTCATGAAAATCGGACAGAAACTGCCGAACAAAATAGCCGCTCCACATACGCAAATAGTATAAAGTGTTGTGGACCCTCTACAGGTCACACAATTTTAATCCGATTTTGATGAAACTTTAAATTTATGTTTATATCACAAAGATCTTGATTCCTTGATTATGGACTGATCGCTGATTGTTCGAAAAATCACGTTTTTACCTTGTGGACCCTTTAGAAGTCACAATTTGTATTTAATTTTAAAAACCGTTTAAATATATCACCGTTACACCTTAATGATGTTTGAGCTTGAATCTAGCGAAAATCAGACCAAAACTGCCCGACAAAATGGCTGCTACTTGTATGCAAATAGTGTAAAAGTATGTAATACTAAGGTTGTGGACCCTCTAGAAGTCACAATTTTTATCCGATTTTGATGAAATTTAAAAATATGTTTATATCCAAAAGATCTTTCGATATTCGTGCAAATCGGACCGCAAATTCCCGAATTATGCCCCCTGCTTGTACAAAAAAATCGTTTTTTTTCAGCTTTTTCTCTATCCATCTCAGGCAAAATGTCGGCGTATTTTGCCCGACAACCGCTGGTTTGTAAAATTGTTATATATTTGCCACGTGACATATTTATTTATTCCAGAGGTCCAGAATTCAACTGTTATTACCCGAATCAAAAATTCCCTAAGAAATCCGAGAAAGGGCAAAATGCCTGCAAAAAAAGATAAAAAACAACAAGACGTATACATATATTGGATGGAAACATATCAAGAAGAATAACAGTTCAACTTATTCAGTTGTACCCGTTAGTAAAGGTGGAGGTACCACGCTGCTTGGTGTATCCAAAGACTGTACCTTGATTCAGTTACAGGAAAATATAATGAATATTTTTTTTTCCAAATGGGCGGTCACCAACTAACAATTTACTGTTGAAAGACTGTAGCAGTTTTTTTATACGCCAACATATATAAACTGCTACGACGTATAATATTGTCGTCGCCCCTGTCCGTCCGTCCTTCCACAATTCTTTGTGAACACTCTACAGGTCACAATTTTTATCCGTTTTCAATGAAACTTAAAATATAGGTTTATCACCCTAAGATCTCGACTCCTTTCGATATTGGCATGTATAGGACTGTAACTTCATGGATTATGGCCCCTGATTGTACGAAAAATCACGTGTTTAGCTTGTGAACACTGTAAAGGTCACAATTTTTATCCGATTTGGTTTAAACTTGAAATATATGTTTATAACCCAAAAATCTTAGTTCCTTTCGATGTTCGCACATATCGGACCATAACTTCCTGAATTATGGCCCCTGATTGTACGAAAAATCGCGTTTTTAGCTTGTGGACCCTATAGAGGTCATAATTTTTATCCAATTTAAAAAACCGGTTTAGTATATCACCGTTACACCCTAAGCATGGTTTGAGTTTTGAATTTCGTGAAAATCGGACCAAAACTGACTGACATAATGGCCGCCCATCGTTCTAAAATAGCGTAAAAATATGGTATATCAAGGTTGTGGACGCTATAGAGGTCACAATTTTTATCCGATTTCATTGAAACTTGAAATGTAAGTTTATAACCCAAAGATCTCAGTTCCTGTCGATATTCGCGCATATCGGACCGTAACTTCCTGAATTATGGCCCCTGATTGTACGAAAAATCACGTTTTTAGCTTGTGGACCCTATAGAGGTCATAATTTTTATCCGATTTAAAAAACCGTTTTAGTATATCAGATATCACCGTTACACCCTAGGGATGGCTGTGTTCAAATTTCGTGAAAATCGGACCAAAACTGACTGACAAAATGGCCGCCCATCGTTCTCAAATAGTGTAAAAATATGGTATATCAAGGTTGTGGACCCTATAGAGGTCACAATTTTTATCTGATTTTGTTGAAACTTGAAATGTAAGTTTATAACCCAAAGATCTCAGTTCCTTTCGATATTCGCGCATATCGGACCGTAACTTCCTGAATTATGGCCCCAGATTTTAAGAAAAATCGCGTTTTTAGCTTGTGCACCCTATAATAGAGGTCATAATTTGTATCCAATTTAAAAAAAGGTTTTAATATATCACCGTGATACCCTAAGGATGGTGGAGTTCGATTTTCGTAAAAATCGGCCAAAAACTGACAGACAAAATGGCCGCCCCTCTTTCTCAAATAGCGTAAAAATATGGTATATCAAGGTTGTGGACCCTCTAGAGTTCACAATTTCCTTCTGATTTTGATGGAACTTGAAATGTAAGTTTATAACCCAAAGATCTCAGTTCCTGTCGATATTCGCGCATATCGGACCGTAACTTCCTGAATTATGGCCCCTGATTGTACGAAAAATCACGTTTTTAGCTTGTGGACCCTATAGAGGTCATAATTTTTATCCGATTTAAAAAACCGTTTTAGTATATCAGATATCACCGTTACACCCTAGGGATGGCTGTGTTCAAATTTCGTGAAAATCGGACCAAAACTGACTGACAAAATGGCCGCCCATCGTTCTCAAATAGTGTAAAAATATGGTATATCAAGGTTGTGGACCCTATAGAGGTCACAATTTTTATCTGATTTTGTTGAAACTTGAAATGTAAGTTTATAACCCAAAGATCTCAGTTCCTTTCGATATTCGCGCATATCGGACCGTAACTTCCTGAATTATGGCCCCAGATTTTAAGAAAAATCGCGTTTTTAGCTTGTGCACCCTATAATAGAGGTCATAATTTGTATCCAATTTAAAAAAAGGTTTTAATATATCACCGTGATACCCTAAGGATGGTGGAGTTCGATTTTCGTAAAAATCGGCCAAAAACTGACAGACAAAATGGCCGCCCCTCTTTCTCAAATAGCGTAAAAATATGGTATATCAAGGTTGTGGACCCTCTAGAGTTCACAATTTCCTTCTGATTTTGATGGAACTTGAAATGTAAGTTTATAACCCAAAGATCTCGGTTCTTTTTGATATTCATGCATATCGAATCGTAATTTCCTGAATTTTTGCCCCTGATTGTACGAAAAATCGCGTTTTTAGCTTGTGGACCTTATAGCGGTCATAATTCTTATCCGATTTAAAAAAAAAAACGTTTGAATATATCACCGTTATACCCCAAGGATGGTTGAGTTTGAATTTCGTAAAAATCGAACCAAAAGTGACAGACAAAATGGCCACGCCTCGTAGTCAAATAGCGTAAAAATATGGTATATCAATGTTGTGGACCCTGTAGAGGTCACAATTTTAATCCGATTTTGATGAAACTTGAAATGCATGTTTATAACCCAAAGCTGTTGGGTGTTGTCGATATTCGTGCATATCGGATCGTAACTTCCTGAATTATGGCCCCTGATTATGGCGTTTTTAGCTTGGGGTCGCTCTAGAGGTCACAATTATTATCCGATTTAAAACACCGTTTGAATATATTACCGTTACACCGTAATGAAGGTTGAGTTCGAATTTCGTGAAAATCGGACCAAAACTGCCATACAAAATGGCCGCCCCTTGTACGCAAAAACATCTGGTAAATCAAGGTTGTGGACCCTCTACGGGTCACAATTTTAACCCGATTTCGATGAAACTTGAAAAACATGTTTATAATTTATAACTCAAAGGTCTTGGTTCCTTTCAATATTCATGCATATCGGATTGTAACTCCCTGAATTATGGCCCTTGGTACGAATTATGGTACGAAAAATCACTTCTTTTTCTTGAGCTTGTTCTTTGTCCATCTCTTGCAAAATATGGGCGTATCTTGCATGGCAACCGCTTGTTTAGCTAGTGGTCCCTCTAGAGGTCACAATTATTATCCGATTTAAAAAAACGTTCGAATATATGTTTGTGGGGTTCGAATTTCATGAAAATCGGGCCAAAACTGCTGGACAAAGTGGCCGCATCTCGAACGCAAATCGTGTAAACATCTGGTAAATCAAGGCTGTGGACCCTCTAGGGGTCACAATTTTGATCCGATTACGATGAAACTTGAAATACATGTTTATAACCGAACCTAAAGATATTGGTTCCATTCGATAATCGCGCATAACGGATTATGGCCCTTGATTGAACAAAAAATCACGTTTTTAGCTTGTAGTCCCTGTAGAGGTCACAATTTTTATCCGATTTAAAAAAAAACAACAAACGTGTGAATATATCACCATCACACACTCAAATCTTGGTTCCTTTTGATAATCGCGGATACCCGAACTTAACTTCCTGGATTATGCCCCTGATTGTTCGAAAAATCGCATTTTTAGCTTGCGGATTCTCTAGAGGTCACAATTCCGATTTTAAAAACCGCTTAAATTCCTAATTTTACAGAAACACCAGTCACGAAAAATCTTGAAAATGGAGACGAATTCACTATTGATACTTACAACAAACAAATAGACACATCACCAATCAGAATATATCTTCATAACCAGAAAATCAGTGAAACCTGTGATGAAGAATGTAAAGGAGCTTCTGCTAATGTGGACATATTATCTGACACGGATTTCCTTCCGGATATAGCAACTGGAGCAACAACAGTAAGTGCTTTTCTTAAAAGTTTAAATTTTTAAATCTTGAGTTCATTCATGAGGTCAGATTATGGCAATTGCTAGGCCACTCAAATAAATGAATAGGCTCTCAAAATAAGAAGAATTATGTTGGAGAAAAGTTGTGATTTTACTGCACATTTCTCAATTTTCAGTTTTTATTCAATTTTTAACAGTAAGAAAAATATTTTAATGCCCAATTTTGGCTTATTCAGCCTCAGAAAGCACAGATAAAGTGAACAGTATTGTAATTCCACCAAATTTTGTCTTAAAATCAGGAATATTTACAAAAAATCTCAAGATTCTCCGATGTCGATGTAGAAATTAAACCTTTCATCCTTTTATTGTACGAAAAATCACGTTTTTAGCTTGCCGTCCCCCTAGAGGTCACAATTTTTATGCCACCGTTACACCCTAATGATGGTTGAGTTTGAAATTCGTGAAAATCGGACCAAAATTGCCGGACAAAATGGCCACCCCTCGTACGCAAATAGTGTAATTCTCTATCCATCTCTTGCAAAATGTGGTTCGATTTTTAAATTTTAGCACAAAAGGCAAATGGACCTGAGATGCACCGTTGTACATAAAGCAGCATGTATACTTAAAGGGCCATTATTTTTGCCATTATTCTTTGATTTTGATTTTCTTTCACCGGTTTGTTGCTAGAACACATGGGAAGAATATAAAAAATTCATTTTGGTGATACCTGAAGTTTCACCCCTATAGGACACAGCTCACCAAATATTCCTACGCCGTCACCCATGAAACAAGGGACGGAGCTATTTTTAGTGTTTCTCCCCCTTTTCCCCCTTTTGCATGGCGATTTTTGTTGACTTTTTGTTGTAGTATCGAAGAAAAGGGTTTGAATATACATTTTCTGCCAGGTTTTGGTGAATATTCATGAATTTTGAGGCGGAAGGATACAAGAGTTGAGAGGTTGGTTAGGTTGCAATGTAGGGCCGAAAATTGCATGTTTATTTGTATCTTCTTCCAGCTTGTGTATCTCAAGTTTTTCATGGTGAACCTCATGCATGCTTTTGGGCAAGAGTTTGCCACATGTTGCTCCATTTGTGGCAGAAAGCGTTCTACCCAACGAAAATTTGTGAAAAAGTTAAGAATTAACATTAAAGTCAATGGAGAAATCATTAGTGATCTGTGTCACTTTGCGTTTTGGCCACAGATCACCAATTACACAGAAAACACTCATAATCTGGAATTTATTTCAAAAATGTAATTTTTTACTGCCATGTCATGAAAAATGTACAAAATTTACATGAAGTATCTTTCAAAAAAACAATAATTTTCCACTTTTTAGATAGCCAGTCTGGCAAGAAATATATTTTTAGAAACCTTGGACAATATGGAAACAGAAAAATCACAAATCAGATGCATTGATTGTAATATTAGAGATCTATAGTGAAACATGTATCCCCACCCCCTA